GAATAAAGCAATGAAAACAAAACTAACACATATGTTGAGAGGAAAGGATGGAAAGAAAAGAAAGAATGGATATGCAAATTTAAATAGAGATAGATGAAGATTTATATACATTAAAGATTAATTGCAAGGGGAAAAAACAGTAGAAAAGGCAAAGAAATGGATAAGTGTACAAAAAATACAATAAGTTTAAAAAAATTAAAATTATAAAAAGGAGAAAAGAAAAAAAAACGGAAGAAGAAAGAAAAAAGGAAAACTCCACAGAACTGCAGAAGCCCAATGTAGAAGCAGAGGTTTATAACAACATTAAAAAGTGTTACTGAATATACACATGTACATGTACACCTATCGGCAAAATCAAAAAAGTCCAACAAAAATAAAGTACAATAGATTGACCCAGTGAACAAAAGAGACCAAAAATTATATCTACCAAAACAAAACTAGCCAAAGCACAAACTGGAAAACAAAACTAAAGCAAGGTGCCAACTGGGGAATAAAGTATTGAAAATAAAACTAACAAATAGGTTGAGAGGCAAGGAGAAAAAGAAACAAAAGAAAGAATAGATACGCAAAGTTAGAGGTAGATAAAGAAGATTTATATATGTTAAAGATTAACTGCAAGGGGAAAAGAACCATAGGAAAAGCAAACAAAGGAATAAATGTAGAAAAAATAAAAATAGGTTTAAAAAATTAAAATTAAAAAGAAAAGAAAAAAAAGAGGAAAACTCCACAGAACTGCAAAAGCCCAATATAGAGGCAGAAGTTTATAACAACAATAGAAAATGTGACTAAGGAAAAAAAAAAGCTCAAAAGTTTAATTGGATTTCATGGTGCCAGTAAAATCGACAGCTACAGCAGAGGGGAAAAAAGAAAAAAAAATCCAAAAGAATCTACAGAACAAGTCAAAAAATAGGGATAATAAATTTTTCTTGAGTCACTGCTGTCAGTCCTTCCCCTCGCTGGGAGTCAGAGTCCACTTAGCCTCCCTAGGCTGCCCTCCAACACTGTGCTGATCTCTGGACCTGCTGTGGGGGCAGCTCAGATTCTGATCTAGTCTTACTCCTGTGTGTTTTTGCCTCGAGTGTCCACAGCTGTCAGAACTAGTGAGTTTTCTTTTGTGGGAATTCTCAATGACCTTTTATATATACCATAGACACAGAGTCTGCCTCATTGATCATGTGGATTTAATCTGTAGCTTGTACAGCTGTTGGTAAGTTTTAGGTCTTCTTCCTTAGCCACACTACCCCTGGGTTTCAATTGTGGTTTTATTTCCACCTATACATGTGGGTCCTCCACTGGGGTTTGCTCCTGAGGCTGCCCTGGAGGGTTTGGATTTGCCCCCTGTGAGGGCCAGGTGTGGAGGTGGTTTAGCTGCTTGGGTCAGAGGGGCTCTGGCCAGCACCAGTACTCAGGGGAGTTGGTGGCTAGGGCAGCAGGAAATACAGTGCTCTGGAAGGGTATGGCGACCAGTATTGGCCAATACACTCCAGTATGCTTGCCTGGGGAGCCCCCCTCCCTGACAGAGAAGCCTGGCAGGTCACAGTCTACAGGGCAGCAAAGAGTTGGACACTACTGAAGCGACCGTGTGGGCATAGACACAAGACTTTCTTTGCCTGTGGCAGCTCTGCCCCAGTGAGAGTTGAGCAGGAAGGTGGCGCAGCTGCTTGGCTTGCAGGGACCGTGGCAGCGCCAAGTGTGCAAGGACACGGACTGCCTCTGCTGCAGGAGTTATGGCCCCATCAGTCTTTTTTCCAGCCTCTTGTAGCTGACGATCGAAAGGCCTCTTTGGCCATCCTATCTCTGTAGCTCCGCCTGGTCAGGCACTTAGCGGGCTCCCTTGCCTGGGGTCCTTCTCTGTTGTTTGGTGTGTCAGGCACGTAGAGGCGGCCCCCTGGCTGGGATCCTAGTCTGTAGGTTGGCGCCTCTGGCACTTACAATGGCACCTAGGTGGGGTCCTGCTCTGTAGCTCTGTGTCAGGCGTTTGATGGGCCAGCCTCTCTGTTGTTCAGCTGCCGATGCTGGCGTGTGTGGAGAGAGAGGCTATAGTGATGGCTCCATCCCCTACCCAGGACTCAGCAGTATTGCCTTGCTTCCATGGCTGCCTGGCTTTACTCCACAGGCATTTCCCACCACGATCTCCTCCCTCACATCCCCTCAGTCTCTCTTCTCCCTCACATCCCCTCAATCCATCTCTCCGTGGTCAACAGCAGCCTTCACCCTGGGGTTGCTCCACAGTCCCTAAACTCCAGCTCCCAGCTGCTGCGCCTTCCAGGCTACCAGTGTCCCTGTCCGGGATATGTATGGCTGCGGCAAGGATTCTCATTCCATTTAGGCTGCCATAGATCAGCTGTTTCACTCTCAGCCTTAAATGTTTCTCCTCTGATTCAGACAATTGCCCCGATGTGGGGGTTGGACCCCTGCTTCAGTTCCCCCCCCAACCGGGGGCAGGTCCAGTCCTACCAACACTCCTGTTTTTCCCTGTAGTTCCTTCGTCCTACTGAGTTTTATGTGGTCCTATATATTATTTTCCATTGGTCAGGTCCTCCTGTCCACCGTTAGCTGGTGTTCTGCATGCACTTCTGTGTCTGAAGGTGTATTCCTGATGTACCTTGGAGAGAGATGTACTCCACGTCCACCAACTCCTCCGCCATCTTGTTCTCCTAGGGAAGATTTTTACCTCTTATTTTTAAGAAAGTTCTATTTGAGTCTAGGGTAAATGAGAACTATCTGGTAATTAAACATTAAAAAAAACTTTTAGCTACTATTCTACTGGAGCTTTATATTTATGTATGTTTATTTTATATATATACTTATTTATAGTTTGAAATCTTACTGTAAACTGTGTGTCCTAAATAACTAGTATTAATTACACTATTTATTATTGGCTTTGCCTGTTTTAATAAAGAGTAATATTTTTGAAGCCAAAACAAAATTTAAGTATACATATTTTGTTTTTTTGCCAGCTGTGAAATATCTTATAATATGACCCACAAGCAAGATATTTGCATTACTTCTTTGACACATCGTAATGTTCTCCAAGGACATAAGCATAAATAAACCACAACTGCTAAATATGAAAATCCAAATCATTAGGTTCCCAATAAGTAAATGATTCTTGTCTTGTGTTTTTAGATTCCCAGATTGTGATGAGCCGTATCCTCGGCTGGTGGACCTGAATTTAGCTGGCGATCCTACTGAAGGAGCCTCAGTGGCAGTGCAGAGGGACTATGGCTTTTGGTGTCCCCGAGAGTTGAAAATTGATCCTGATCTTGGCTATTCCTTTTTGCACGTGCGTGATTGTTCACCTCCTTGTCCAAATATGTACTTTAGGAGAGAAGAGCTTTCATTTGCTCGGTATTTCATAGGATTGATTTCAATCATTTGCCTCTCTGCCACATTGTTTACTTTTTTAACTTTTTTGATTGATGTGACAAGATTCCGTTATCCTGAAAGACCCATTATATTTTATGCCGTCTGCTACATGATGGTGTCATTAATTTTCTTTATTGGATTTTTGCTTGAGGACCGAGTCGCCTGCAATGCATCCAGCCCTGCACAGTATAAGGCTTCCACAGTGACCCAAGGATCTCATAACAAAGCCTGTACCATGCTTTTTATGGTACTCTATTTTTTTACTATGGCTGGCAGCGTTTGGTGGGTGATTCTTACCATCACGTGGTTCTTGGCAGCTGTGCCAAAGTGGGGTAGTGAAGCTATTGAGAAGAAAGCCTTGCTGTTTCACGCCAGTGCGTGGGGCATTCCTGGAACTCTGACCATCATCCTTTTAGCGATGAATAAAATTGAAGGTGACAATATCAGTGGCGTGTGTTTTGTTGGCCTCTACGATGTTGATGCCTTGAGGTATTTTGTTCTTGCACCCCTCTGCCTGTATGTGGTAGTTGGGGTTTCACTCCTTTTAGCCGGCATTATATCCCTAAACAGAGTGCGAATTGAGATTCCATTAGAAAAGGAGAACCAAGATAAACTGGTGAAGTTTATGATCCGGATTGGTGTTTTCAGCATTCTGTATCTCGTACCACTCTTGGTTGTAATTGGATGCTACTTTTATGAGCAAGCTTACCGCGGCATCTGGGAAACAACGTGGATACAAGAACGCTGCAGAGAATATCACATTCCATGTCCATATCAGGTAAGGGAAACCTTGTTCTAAATTTCAAAATATTTAACAGTGAAGAGAGCTAATCTTAGCTGTTTTGTTTTTTAAACTCTTCATGAGAAATCTGAACATTAAAATTTTGAAGTGAAGTTAATGAACAAATTTTTTGTAGTAAGAATGTCATACACACATTTCTGTTAGCATCTTCCTTTTAAAAGACCACTTTCATGAGTCCAGGCCATGGGCTTTTAAGCACTTTACTTCTGTTATCACAAAATAGTTGCTTGTTGATTATTTAGAAGTCTGCAGGTTTGAGGGCAAGATGTTGATTAAAAGACAGTGTCTGTGGAAATTTTACTGATACTTAGAATGGGAGTTTTAATAGCTTTGAAAAATTAGAATGCATTTGTACAAACAGTTCATCTTTTAGTTGGTATTTTTTCTTTTTTGCATACTGAATATTTTGTGATTTACCTTTTAATTTAAAGAGATTGGATAATCATAGAATTTTAGATCTAGAGAGGACCTTAGAGATGACTTATTCAGGTTCTCTCTATAATTTAGAGTTCTTAAACATCTGTCTCATTTGAGGCTTAGAAATGTTAAGTGACTTGCTCACTTTATTAAAGTACTTAGGCATTATAGATAACTTCCATTTACTTGTCTCTTTCCCCTAATAGTCAGTGAACTCTTTAAATGTAAGAACATCTTTTTCATATTTTTTCAAATCATGTTCTATACGTTAGTAGATGATGGCATTGAGAATGGGAATGTGTAAATTGAGAAGAAAAGACATTTTTAAGAAATGTTCCAGTTTTACTGGAAACAAGGAGTGTGTGATTAGCACATAGTCAATTCTCGTAAATACTTGATGACTGAAAATGCCATTTCCTTTTTTATTTTGTGGTATAAATAATTCTACACAAAATTACATTTTTACTGTATAAATATTAGCTACTGGCTTTTTAAAAACCAACCTATAATTGAGAGGCCAGAAAAAATGAATAATTGAAATTTTATTGCATTTCTTGATAGAATTGCTTATTAAAAACTCTTAATATGAGTTTTCAGGCCTGAAGCTAAGTAATCAAATTTTGCCTCTAATGAGAGAGAAAGAGATGATTGAATTACATCATATGCTTCTCCATGTAAGGTTTCTAGGATTCCAAATATATATTATCTTAGGATTATAAAAGAAATAATCTTTGTCTCTGAAATAATGATCTGAAAAATACCAGACCTCAAACATGTAAATTAGTGAATTAGAGTAGTTGGGATGCCAGTATTTTCAAGACATTTCTAAGAATCTTTTAGCATCTTTAGAACCAGTTTGAGCTATACAAAAATGTGTGTGTATTCATTTCTTTATAGTCATAGGTTCTATAAGTGTTTTTTGTTTCCAACTTACAGAAATAATGTTGGATTTCCGACATCCTAAAATGAATAGAAAATGGTGTAATAACTAACATAGTTATTAAGCTGTAAAGTATGGGTCAGGAATCCTGGCTTCATATCTAACTCTTATTATTTACTAGTTTTATAGCTTTAGATCAGCTTCACCTCTCTCCACTTCAATTCGTCATCTGTAGTAATGGAATCTCATAGTAATAAAAGAGTAATCGTGTTAGATAGAAATAGTAGTAGAATCTGTCCCCTAGGACTGTCTTTAGGCACCTACTTGCAGTTAGAAGTGTGCCTTCTGTATAATAAGCGCTCAAATATTCTGCTACTCATCTTTTCATTTGTTGTTGCTGCTGTTACTGTTACTTACACACACACACATACATAAACTTTTTTTTTTAAACCATTCAGTACAACACTTTAGCAAATGCCATGTTTAAGTTATTGAGAATATACATGACAGTATGTGTACCACTAACTTGTTCATTTAAACTGCAGTAGAGAGATTTAATGTATAAATGTACTTTAATTCATTTACTGATTATTTTGCTGATGGACATAGAGTTTCCAAATGTTTTACTACTGTAATACCTATCTTCCTTGTACCTGACCAAGAATGTTCATGGGGTGTGTACCAAAAAGTGTAGTCGTGGCATTTTAACATACAGGCATCTTCAACTCAAGTGGTTATTTTAATTTACACTCGCAGTATAGAGTTGGAATTCCCCATTTTGCCCCATCTTGGTGTTCTCAGGCTTTTAGGTTTTTGTCAGCCTTTGAAACAATATCTCAAGCCTGTCTTGATTGGTATTTTTATTTCCCTTATGCCTCAGTGTTTTCATATGTTTATTGGCTGTTTGGGGTTTCTCTTCTGTGATTTGCCTATTTGTTGCCTTTGTCCACTGCTCTGTCAGGTTGTCTTTTGTTGTTGTCTTGTTCTAATTCTTTGTCAGTTACTTGCATTTGCATATATCTTATCCTGCTCTGTAGCTTGTCTTTTCACTTTGTGTTTTCTTTGCCTCTTGTGTTTTAGGAAATCCCTCCCTACCTCTAAAAATCATAAAAATGGTCTGCTGTTTTTTCCCAGCAGTTTTTTAAATTTGATTTTTTAATTCACAACTCTAATGTCTTGAAATTCATTTTTATCTATGTTATGAGTAACGACTTTAGTTTTTCATATGAGTGGTGCTTTTTGCACCATTTATCAAATAGCCAATCTGAATAGTGGTGCTTTGCTGTAATATACAAGTTCCATTTTTAAGCTCTCTTATTTACTGCTCTGTTTGAATAACCTTGTTTCAATCCCACATTTCCTCTACTTTATGCTTCTTCAGAATTATTTTAACTGTTCCTGACACTCTTTCTGTTTGAATTTTAGAATAATTTCTTCATGAGAAACAGTTTGTATTTTGTTGAAATTGTTTTAGGTTTTAAATGAATCCAGGGAAAATTGCTCTCTTTGTGATACTGAGTTTTAGTATCTTTTTGTTTCTTTATGTATGTATTCATTAATTTGTTCCTAGGTACCTTATAGTTTTTGTTTCAGTTGTGAATGAGATCTTTTCTCTGTTATATTTTTCAATTGGTTAATCCTGGTCTACAAGGATGCCACTGATTTTTATATATTGACCTTATATTGAGCATCCCTGCTGAACTCTTCTGTTAGTTCTAATTGTGTGTAGATTCTTTTATGTATTCTTTGTAGAAATCCTGTTGTGCAAGTAAGGCCAAGTTCATATCTCACATTCCAGTTCTTATGTTTTATTTAAGATTTTTGTGTCTATACTCATGAGAGATATAGACTGTGATATTAATAGTTTTTCTTTTCTTGCCGTGTATTTTTCCTTTTTGGTGTCAAGGATGTAATAGCTTCATAAAGTGAGGTCTTTTCCTCTTCTTCTTTGAAACTGTTTTTACAATGAATTGGGACTGTCTGCTATTTGAAAGAGTTGGTATATCATCCTGTAAAAATCCTTTGTCATTGGTATCTTTGAAGTAAAGAGAGAGAAATTTCATCTTTCCGAACTGAAATTCTGCAAGTCCCCATTCCTCCCTCTCTCCTGGCCTTTGGCAACCATTGTTCTACTTTATTCTCTATGAATTTGACTACTCTGGGTACCCCGTATTAATGAAACTCAAACACTAGAATTTTAATATTAGTTTTCATTCAGGATTTTACTTCAGAGGAATTTTATAAAGACTTGTAAATTGAGCACTGGAGCTATTGAATTCCTATTTGAAGTAATATCCATACATAATTGAATAAGATTTACTATTACTGAGCATGCCTAAAAGAACACATGTCAAGTTTTGATGATAATGCCTAACAAGAGATTTGTAAAATGTATTAAGCAATGATGTGATCCTTGAGGTAGCCTCCACAGGTGTCTTGGAGAACGTAATATTTGAATATATGTTCACATGAATATCGGTGCAGTTGCTTTGTAGTCATTTCTCAAATTAATGAAACTTTCAAACATTTGAAAAATCAGAATGTGAGGTAGTTGATCACATTGTTTCAAAATACCCAGTTGGGTTTAAAGTAAATTGCATGTGTTTAAGTCCATGATTTGAAGAAAAGTGGGTTTGTGTAAAGTATTTTAAAATATTTGAAATGAATGTCCTTGCTGAAAACAGGAATTCACTGCTTGAATTTTAAAATACTTTATACCAACTGTTTTTTTCAAGAACACTTTTTTAAAATGTGTATTAAATAATTCTTGAGAAAGTAATATTTAATGCCTGAAAAGAGTTGGTCATGAAATATAGCTTGAGTTTTCAGAATAATGTATATTTTACAGTTTAAAATCAGTAAAGTTTATTCCTAGAATATGTTTCGTCTTATGTATTATTTAAATAGCACAGTAATTTTCCAGGTACTTAGTTTTTTTTTTTTAAGTATTTCCTTCTATTTATTTAGGGGCTTCTAAGAGGCTCAAAGCATTTTATGAAAGAGTTACATATTTCAAAGTTTGTTGATATTTCTAGAAAGCCATTCACATATAACATATTTATTAAAAACATGGGGTTTAAAGTCCTGTCTGTAACACTTTGAGTCTCAGTTTCCTCATGTAAAATATAGGGAATAATATGTTAAATATAGTAATATCTACTTCATAGGTGGCTGTGAAGATTAAATGAGAAAATAAAGTTAAGCCTCTATACTAGAGTGCCTTGCACAAAGAAAAATTTCATTATTCTATTGTTGCAAGTACATAATTCTTTAAAAAAGAATTGTTCTTATATTCTGTATTAGAATCATCATTTTGTCTTTTAAACATTGATTTTCAAAAGAACATGTTTCCTTTCCTAAAGTTTCCCCCTTCATTTTTTTCTCTTTCATCCATCTAATCCAATGATGTATGTCCCAAGGAATTTTGATACTAGAACCTGTGTTTCAGTAATAGAAATGTGTTACTGTAATAGAAACAGCTTAGCTAAGACTGTCAAGTTCACATTAGAGCCATTTGTAGAATTTTTAAAAAATTATTCATGTAGAAAACAAACAAAAAACCCATTATTTCTATTTTCAGCCACAGAAGGCAGCCCATCTGTTGTTTATCTAATCTTGATTCAGAAACATACAAAAATAGAAGAATAACATCATATCTAACTTATGATTTTAGCTTCAT